TTCCAGTAAATTGGATGATGTAAATTAGAACTTGAGAGAAAAGTGGGCCTGCCTGCTAAATCCAAATCACCACCCAACACAGGATGATTAATAATTGTGTTCATTAGGGCTGCAAACAGTTATGCACAAAGAAAAATTAGGTATATCGGCAAGAGTTTGAAGAATTAACCCTAAAGGATTCTACAGGACATTTGATCCTTAATAGAGGCTTAATGACACTTTATATCTTTTTTTAAAAATCCCCAAATCAGATATAATTTTTCTTGTCTACAAGGAGTTAGTCTAGCAATGCTATTCTGGTTTTAGTGCTATCGTGTAACCACAGTGGAAGTCTCTGTTAGCATGAATAAAATAACATACAAGAAGGAAGATGTCTGAAGTTTAAAACTTTAACTCATTACTTGTCAGAGAAAATATTTAAAAAGTAGGCTTGAATTCAAATAGAAAACATTAATGAGTTATAATCTTTTTATGCAGATATCCATGCATTAGTAACACTAGTTAACTGATTTCAGTTTTATCTCAGTACAGTAACAGGATTTCAGTTTTGGCTATAGTAAAACTGAAACACTTCTTATTCACATTGTCTTATACTCTTCACGGTCTGCAACTTCTCTACCTCTAAACTAATAATGTACAGCAAACAGTGCTACAGGCGTTTTAGGTTTTTCATAAATTATAGTTGTGTTAATGAGAATAGACTGATAAATGTTTGTTTGTACTCACTGAAAGAGGGAGGGTGGGAAGCAGCACTTGACTTGATTAGTAACACAATAAGTAGCCTAATTAAATATTTATTCACAGATTAATAACATGTACATACAGGTTAGGCAACAGCATGTGGGTGAATACAAAGCAAACACATGCAAATAGAGTTAATCCTACAGGCAGGAGATCTGAGTCTTGGTGTGGACCTGAAGCTGCTTCGTGGAAGTTAGAAAAACTACTCCTCTTATGGCTTGCATCTTAAAAAACTTTAACTTCTCCTTGTTTATTTTAAGTAGAGACTATTCTCTTCCATGTGAAGAAGAGAAAGATGAATCTAGATTTGAACATGGAATTTGCCTTTCTCCTAGAGGAAAGGGAGAAAGCTGGGAAACAGTACGTGGTACCTCTGTCCCTGTCCTTAGACTGTTTTTCTTAAATGTCAGAAGTTCACGATTTAAGTTTCAAGCTATAAGCTAGTTTCCATCTTGCTTAAGAAAATCGACCTCCCTATTCTCTACGTATACTTAAATAATGGATGAACTAATTTGAGTTTTATGACTATAAATCAGAATAAAGAAATACACTGTCCTAGGAGGACAAGGAAAAGATTGTCGTCTTTGCATATTGTCACCTGATGCGTCTTTTCCACTGAATCGAGCGCAGGTGGGCACTCAGAATTGGTTCACACTAGTATTAGCATATGAGTAGGTGGAAAAATACAAGGGGATCCGTGTTCCTTGGATAAAACAAAGACTACAGGCCAGACCGTGCTTACCAAAATAAGTAGAACGTGTCTGTGACTCTACCGGCAATAGTGTGTGTCAGGATCGCTCTCTTGAAAAACAGCAAATCATTGCTAATACCTTCCCTGTGTTTTCTGTTCAGCGGGTTTAGGCTGTGAGAGGGGATACAGCTACAGATCCTTTCCATATTATTATTCTTTACTGTAGCCCACGGCTGGCTAGATATGGCAACGCTGGCGTGCTGTGCGTTAGGGAACCTTCCAGCAGTGAGATGACTACAGACGGTTTTCTGTGCGAGTCCCCTCTGGCCAGGGCTGGTGTGAATGGCTTGTGCTCTACGGTCAGCAGCAGCGCGTAACGCGAATGAAGCGCGTCCCTAAGGAAGCGCAGTGCGGCAGCCACTGTCTAGCACGTTCGGTTGTTCCTGAGATAGGCCTTCTGAAACTGGAATCTGCTGTCTGAGTGACTGCAAGGTTAAAAGTTGAAATAAGACTTCCTCTTTTCTGTGCAGGCTGACAGCACACCCAGATTGTGAGTCAGTGACGTAAAAAGGAGAAAACAAATACGAGAAAGATGATGAGTTTTCAGACCTAGTTGGGGCAGAAATTGCACAACTAATATAGGGCATAACTAATGATACTGTCTTACTAACTGTAAACAGCGAACGAGCTTTTTGAGATGTCTTAACCTCATTTTAGACTTGGGACCATATGTACATTTTTCCCAACTATTAGACCATCTCCCAAATTACAGTTGCGACAATGAAATCCGTGTTATGGGGAGAAAAGCAAAAGGATAAAGCAAATCTTACTTAAGTTGTGGATGAGACTGAGGCTTCTGTTGCGGAGCGGGCTGTGGAGCGGGCTGGGGAGCTGGCGATGGAGCGGGCTGCGGCTGCGGCTCCGCTTCCTTTGATAACCTGGTGCTGGAAGGACCTTGAGCCTGGGGACGCGGTTGCTGAGTTGTAGGTCCAGGCGGACGCTGCGGCTGGGAAGCCGAGGGCTTTGCTGACTGCCCAGGGGGGTACACGCGCTGGGGCTGCAATGGCTCCTGGCTTTGTGATTGCATTCCTTGGGGTTGCACTGGGCCCCCTAGGTTCAGTACAAGAAAAACTTCATAATGTTATAGTATCAAAGAATTCTTACTAGATTTCATATCCAACACTTTATAATAATCTTTGAATGTGATTAATTCTACTTTTGAGGCAAAATTCTATTAATATGGACTGCCGTCTCTTGTAGTCAATACTACTAATCACAGCTGGCACATTAGTAACTTGCTTGGAGCCCCTATGATTCATCCTTAAAATTGCTAAGTACCACCAAATTTATCCCAGCAGTAGCGGTACTGACTTCCAATCAAAGCAATGGAGTTACACCCAGTATAATTTTGGCCCGGCTAAAGGAGAGGCTGCGAGATAATCGAATATACCAGCAATACCTACTTCAGCAATACAGCCAGTATTTTCTGTGTAGGTACTGCAGTTTTGCTCCTCCAAAGTTTTAAAATTATTTCTGTAATCTTCCTCTTAGATTCACTCTTATAGCAGTAAAACAACTTTATACTGTAATTTTCTGGCTAATTTAAAGTCTTTTGATAACTTATTTAACTCCTTAGTGAAATATGCCAAGAACATTACAAGAAACACAAGAAAGTCATTACTAATTCTTTACCAAGGAGGTATTTCCACTGAGAAGGAAGCAGACTGGCAAAATACTGTATCAAGTGTGACACTACAATGTGCAGCAGACTTTGGTTGTGAAATCCATGGCTGAAAGATGCTACATCATCATACAGAGGGGTTTTGGGTTTTTTTTTTTTCTGCTTTCTGACTGAAATAGTGCTGTGTCAGGTATCAGTGGGCATGCTGCTTTTATCTCATATCAGATGTCTGAATGTGGTTTTCTGGGCTGATAGTTGTTATAACTGAATCTTTATTCTCGCACGTGACAAGGCACACGGGACATCTGCGTTAAGGGGAAGAAAGGACAGGATGAAATTCTGAGCCATTTGTTTGTATAATGTTTCAGTCAGGGTAAGAGCTTTGCCGAACAGTAAATATTATAGAAGACAACTGATCTAGATGTTCTGAACATTTGGGAATTTTTAGTCTTACGTAGATATTCAGTCCCAGTAAGAGACTTAATCTATTCAGGTCTCTAAAAGAAAACCTTCGTATCTGGAAGTACTGCTGCAATACACGATTTTTTTTTTTTTTAAATTGCTGTTACAGTTAGCTTTCCACTTACTATATGAGATTTCAGTGTATGTGTCTGAGAACAGCATGTACTAATGCTTCAATAAGTTTTAATACAGTTGTATCAGCGTGTTGTGGTGTAGAAAGATAAATAGCACGTACTGTATGTTAAGGAATGTGCCTTCATTGTTTATTAATTTGAACCACTTTCGTAGGAAATATTTGAAGGTGATAACATGGTCTTGCAACATCTTAATAAGGATCGTTTTCTTATTAGTCTCCTTTCACTCAATATTGAAAACCAGAAAGGTTTCTTTCCCCCACTTGTACATACAGGCTTGAATGCCAGAAACTTTACACTGAAGACAGATATAACTTTCTTTTATTGCACATTAAGCTGTACAAGATATTTCACATAAAAGATATACTGCTGTCACACTTCCAGCATTTGCTCACTTTCTTGCAGCTGGGTTGTACAAAAGGCAACAATCATGAAAGAAACTTTTACCAAAAATAACTCAACAAAACTGAACATTAAGCCTACACTGTAAAACATCTGTTCCCTGTTACCCACAATATTGCACCTAAGCATGCTTACATGCAGAGAGACATTTTGGCTTGCTTCTCGTCTGTGGTATGTAGTAATAGTGTGTGCCCTTGTAAATCCTTTACAGTCAACAAGCCGAAAGCTTATCTGAAACACCCATCTCCTCTTTGCACACACAACTCACAAACGTCGTGTGAAAAGCACTTGTGAATGCTTGTACTACTACATGCAAAAAATACCAACTGCTTTAAATAAAACCAATCATCAGATTCATGTCTTCACCCCAGGGCAGTATGGTTTATTCACTTTTATGGTGTCTGGAGGGAAGGATTTGTGAACCTGATCCTAAGTGGAATTTTCTTAATATAGAACAAAATAGCCAATGCCATCATTGGAATGATCACTGACCCAGACAAATGCTGATCGCTAAAGCAAAATATTCATGTAATTTACTGATAGGTAGTAAACAGTAGCACTTACCACAAACATTTAAATAGCTAATAATGCATACCTTAATTCTCATCTTACCAGCCAGCTTGTACAAATAAAAGAAACACTAAGAATGATGATTCTCACTGATAATTTTTTCCAG